GTGCTTTGTTGTTGGGTGTTTCTCATCTCATCTACAGCATCCCATATGGGACTCTATTGGCTTCAGGGCAGATGAGTTAGTTGGCCAATCAAGCACAGCTACATCATAATCAGTAAACCATTTGATTTTAGCTGTGGCTCTGTGGTCAGGTGCTAAGACCTGTTGGAAAAGGAAATCGGCATCTCCATAAAGCTTGTCAGCAGATGGAAGTATGAAATGCTCTAAAATGTCCTGGTAGACACTGAGTTGACTTTAGACTTGATAAAACACAGTGGGCCGACATCAGCAGATGACATGACACCACAAACCATCACAGACTGAGGAAACTTCACACTGGACTTGGATTCTGTGCCTTTCCACTCTTACTCTAAACTCTGAGCAAAATTTACTTTCATCTGACAAGAGAACTTTGGACTACTGAGCAATAATGCAGTTCTTCTTCTCCTTTGCCCAGGTAAGCTCTTCTAGCTTTGTCTCTGGTTCAGGAGCGACTTGATATTAGGAATATAACAGTTGTAGTTCATTTCCTGAAGCTGTCAGTGCTTGGTGGCTCCTGAAGCGCTGACACCAGCCTCAGTCCACTCCTTGTTACAACACCACTGCTTGTCTTGTGCTGTTTTAATACTAATTTATCCAAACTCAAAATGAAATATTCGAATAATTTGAGGCACTGGATTTCATGAGCTTCAAGCGATAATCATCAAAAATGAAACAAACAAACGAAAACCTTGAAACATTTCACTTTCTGTCACAAGTTTAGAATATATAAAATTTTCACTTTCTTAAATAACTGATGTAAGATATTACTGTTTTTCACAATGTTCTATTTTCTTTTTGTGATGCACATCAGTTAAACTGGTCTTAGCTTACTGAATCTTCACACTTCAAACAAATAACTTAGTGCATTGTTCCCAAATTCGAAGTTTAACCCAGTGATTTTGCATAATTATAGGAACAATAATATATCCCCACAAAAATAGGTCACTTAAAATACCTTTACAATAATAATACCAAACAAGTCAGTTGCATATGGCACACTCTATAAAGAATAATTCTGCTTTTTTCAAACACAAATGTTTTTATAGGTTTTTTCATCATTTGTAGTTTTTATGACAACACTGTAATCATCCAAAAAACTGAGGGACTTGCTAAGAAAGTCCAATGGTTCAAGAGACACACGCAGGAACAATCATAATTGAAAAGTTGAAAACAAGCCAGAGGATTTAAACACTATTTGAATGCAAATAGTGCAAACAAACAGTTTACTGCAAACATTGAATGTATATCTTCTTGGACCTGGCTCTGCCTGCACCCCACGTCATGTGAGTTAAATGCATGCATGTCTTCCTGTCTTCTAATGACTTTATCTGATTAAATTATGAGTGTAACATTATCCTCAGCTAACTTGTTAAAACTTTGCAGACTTGCTTGAACAGTGGGTGAATAGCACAAGTTGTGTGACTTTCAGTAGTTATTATTCCCATTTAGGCACATTATGGCTGACTAAAGTAACTTTACTCCCTTTTAGAGCAACATGTTTCTGTCAGTGGAGCAATGTGCTGCTGCTTCTCTCACACACCAGGTAAGACTCACTTCTTCCCAGGTTTAAGCTTCACCACCCTGAAGTGCCACACTCACAGTCAGTCATTTATGTTTGTTGTTTCCTTTCTCAATAAAATTGTAATTTATGTTCTGTTAAATGTTTTTTGTTTACCTTCTCATTTAAGTAGGTATGTTTTGACAATTAATTAGCACATTTACAACATTAACATTAAATTGTAAATAATTAGATCCATGTCCTGGTGTTGTAAAAGCTTTAACACTGGATGTAGTAGCCCGTACCCTACACATAATTAATTTCTTTTATAGTTAACTGCACATTTGCAACCAGATATCACTTATTCAACTGTGTTTCAACACATCTCAACACACCTTCTTGGCTTTCTAGGCCTGCACTCTGCTGAGTTGGCAAAAATGTTCATGCCATGTTAACTATTTTCAGTACTACACGTAGAGAGTACTCTTGCATATAGAGATGCTTTCCACATTGGTAAGTCTGAAAAGGTTAAACAGTCATCATTGCTCGTAGCTAATACCTCAACAAACTCTGACGGTGAAAAATGTTTTCCTGTTCCAAACTTAATCACTTGTTTGACTTACATATTATCTAACTTCACTAACTTGTTACTCCTTCAATTATTTGCACAAGTTGGCATGTCTGTGGTAGAGATGCTTCACTAATTTGGACGAGTTGGCTCCCTCAGGCAGCATTACTTTAAAATATCTTTTGCAGACATACTTTGTGGTGTCTGTGGGCTTTCCCTTATGGTCAGCTATGGAAGTGAAATGCCTTTATATTTTGCTTTGTGTGTCCGCCCTATCCACAAACTGTGGACAGTCGACAGTAGCAGCTGCATTTGTAGCCATGACTTGGGGCTCTAAAAGCTACTGGAGAGAACAAGCAGTTGTCACGCTCACTACACCTGTAGAGCTGCAAACACACACACACACACTGCTCCAATATCACACATTAATGTTAATGATCAGAGATGCTGCTCTAAGGAAGCACTGCTGGTCAATTAAAGTATGGATACTAATGAAGCTGGCAAGGTCTTGTGATACTTTCCTAGCATCAGTATATCATGCATCACTAGCAGGGTGCATGCTTGGAAACATCCTCCAAGTGGAGGACTTCAAGGCAGCTCTGTGTTCATGCCGTCACAATTACCCAGAATGCGAAACTACAAGTTTACAACACATCTGTTGTCCACCTTACAGTCTAAACCTCAAAATGAATAACAGGAAAAAAGGAAAATCTCACATTAGCAAAGCTGGAATATTCAAATGCTTCTGCGTAATATTTTTTTTTTCTTTTAAATTACAATTGTCATATCATGCAGGTTCACATGTATACTGAACTGTGGGTGAGGGTTCTTAGCCCCACCTGCTTTTGCATCTTGAGGCTGTTAAAAAGCAGCAGGGATAGGTAGCACGGTATGATAGGTAG